CTTTCTTTTTTTCCATGTTTTCTTTTAGGATATTCCAGATCAGAATAAGAAGCTGAAGCTGAAGCTGTGTAATGAGGTTTCTTTTGAAAAATTCCTAGCAGAAACAAAACGAAATCAGCCAGAGTCAGAAAACTTTGGATGTGACGTTCATCCTAAAGATGAAGAAGAAAATTGCCAATTACCACTTAATGGGTTAACGCCTAACGTAGAAGAGCAAATCAGACAGCTCAGAAACGATGAAGAGAAACATTCTTCCCAAATGCCATTTGGTAAGTTCCCGTTAATGAAAGGCTCTAAAAAAGAGAAGTCGAAAAGCTACGACTCTGTTTATTTTGGGAATGAGGATAAAGAAAATTTGGAACCACAACAAAATGAACAAATCGTACGTTCAAAAAGCATTACCAGTGTGCTTTCTGGAGAGAAGGATGATGAGTCAAACACTTTTAAAAAGCCGTTGGGTGGTGGGTTGAGSCTCATGAAACGCTTTCAAATGGGGATAAAAACAAAGAAGCCAGTTATTGCGAAGTCGGAAAGCCAACCCTGCGTTTATGCTGAAGGTGAGCCGGATAAAAATGAAAAGTTCAAAATGCTTTCTAATCTAAAGATAAAAAAATCAAAGTCAAAAAGCTACGATTGTGTCCTAACTCAATGTGAGAATGAAGAGCAGGAATCCAAAAACCCATTTCGCGCGTTCGTGAAGCACTTTCCACGACAGTTAAAAAGAAAACAAAAGAAAACAGTTGGAACTGTTGGAAGGTCAAAAAGCTGTGATGATTTCATAGCTGAGGAAGAGRATAAAATGCAAAACGGCCACATAGGGAAGAAAAAAAGTTCAAGACTGGCACTTGGATTGGAAAAATTCTTTGGAAGAGGGAAAAAAAGAAACGAGTCAATAAAGATAAAGCAAGACGATGACGAAAAAGAGCCCATGGTGGCGTTTCCTGGATTATCACCTGTGGAGGCGTCTACATCCAGGGCACGGATACACCAGGCAAAGTCACAAGATTATGCAAGCGCTCTTTCTGAAAATGAGGGTGCAGAAGAAGAGCCCATGGTGACATTTCCTSGATTACCACCTACGCAGCCGTCTACATCCAGGGCACAGATACACCAGGCAAAGTCACAAGATTGTGGAAGCGCTCTTTCTGAAAATGAGGGTGCAGAAGAAGAGCCCATGGTKACGTTTCCTGGATTACCACCTACGCAGCCGTCTACATCCAGGGCACGGATACACCAGGCAAAGTCACAAGATTGTGGAAGCGCTCTTTCTGAAAATGAGGATGCAGAAAAAGAGCCCATGGTGACGTTTCCTGGATTACCACCTAAGCAGCCGTCTACATTCAGGACACAGATACACCAGGCAAAGTCACAAGATTATGCAAGCGCTCTTTCTRAAAATGAGGATGCAGAAAAAGAACCCATGGTGRCGTTTCCTGGATTACCACCTACGCAGCCGTCTACATCCAGGGCACAGATACACCAGGCAAAGTCACAAGATTATGGAAGCGCTCTTTCTGAGAATAAGGATGAAGACAAAGAGAACATGGTGGCGTGTTATAAATTCAGGGAAGAACCCATTGGTTTCGGTGCTCCAGGAACTTGTGTTTACTCAGGGGTAAACACAAAAGATGGCAGAAAAGTTGCCATTAAGAAAAAACATTTTCATACAAAAAAACAAAGCTCCGATTATAAGAAAGAGATCGAATATCTTTTGCGCCTTAGACATTGTTCAAATGTTGTTAACTATTTGGATGTTGAAGTAMGAAAAGATGTTGTTTACATCGTACTAGAACTAATGGAGGGAACGCTAGAGGCCTTGGTAAATCGGCCCAACCCTGGAATCAACTTCGTTGAATTGAGTCGTGATATGATAAATGCACTRCAATTCCTACACAACGTTAAGATCGTTCATAGAGATATCAAACCAAGAAACATTCTTTACGTTTCTTCACCAAGACTCAAGTTAAAACTTGCCGACTTTGGTTTAAGTAAGATGATTGGAAGTGATTCCTCTAGCATAGGGTACAATGGTGGTACCAGGTGCTGGATGGCACCAGAAGTACACGAAAGTCTAAAGACGTTCTCTACTGCATCTGATGTGTTTGCCACGGGGCTTGTRCTTCACTTTCTTATGACATCCAGACATCCATTTGCACCAATAGATGTCAAATCCACTAAAGATAATCGCATTTTTGTGGAGCATAAAACTGTTGACAACATTATTAATCAAAATTTGAATGCTGACAATCGCCTTTCCCCAGAAGCTCTTCACCTCATTGGCCAAATGGTGAATCATGACAAARAGCAGCGCCCTAATGCTGATGAGGTGTTAGCCCATCCTTTCTTCTGGTCGAACCAGAAGAAAATGAAGTTTCTGGAAGCCGCAGCAAATCAACCGGAAACCTATAAAWATGGGGCAAATGACTTCAAGAGAGATCTCGAGTCAACTATATTGGAAGCTCAGTTCCAAACATTACCTTGGTCAGAACAAAGCCCTACCATGGTATATATATACAGTGAGATGAATTTATGGAGTCGCAAGTACAACACTACTTCAGTAGCAGAACTACTACGTTTCATGAGGAAYGCATATCAACATGTGTCAGTACCAGGACGCACACCTCTTTTCCAGAAATTCATGTTGCGAGACTTTGTTTTCTTGAACGATTTTAAAACTTTATTTATCACCGTTTACGAAACTGTTCGAAAGCATAAATGGCACGAAAATAAAGAGGAAATAAAATATGCGATATCTTATGCAGAAGAAATTTARACACTATGCTATGCTGTTTGCGGGAAGCTGTCAGTGTCTCAAGGATTTCACACAAGAAGGATGTAAACAAAATACTTTGGTCAAAATATAAACAAATTCAACTTTCAGCTTTACGATGTTGTTTATCAGTCAAGGGGTTTATATCTGTGTCAATGGTTAACTAAACTGATTATCAAGAACACCAAGTGCTTGATTAGTGCTACATTTTTAGTGGTATACTTTTTAACTTGCGTTCGCGCTTCAACCACGTCACTGGTTTTACGAGAAACTGTATATATTATTTAAAATGCATTATAATCTTGTACATTTTGGGTTCCAATCCTGTTAGAACGACTTGRAGCAACAGATCAGAGCACGACAAAAGACTTTAAGGTAATCAGAAAGGAAAATTAGTGATGTCGTTAGTGTTTCAAATTTACAAAATATTTAAATAACGGTAGTTATAATTACAGTTTATATAATAATTTTCATGGTCTCCAAACTCTTAAGGTGTGGACACACGATGAGACATCGCCTGCAACGTTGCATGGATTTTTTTGATGTCACAGTACAATGTAGCATGGAACGTAGCAAAACTAGAAATTGCTTCTACTTCTGCGACTTTGCATGCAAAATTGCTCCATGTGTACACGCCTTTATAAAGGAAGTTTCGTTTATTATTAAGTTCCATTGCCATTACTATTATAATTATCTTCACTAKTATTCTAAAGTACATCTGAAATCAAAAAATAATCTGAAGATCTGCCTTGTGGCACTGAAGGCCTTTATTTTTTATTTTTTTGGGGAAGCACGGGTGGCGTAGCGGTGTGAGCGCTCGCCTCTCATCAATGCGACCCGAGTTCGAGTCCCGCCGGGTTCAGTGTTGTATATGAGTAGAGTTGTTTGTTTGTTCTCTCCTGTGCTTCGAGGGTTTTCCGGGTTCTCCGGTTTTCCTCCCTCCGCAAAAATCAACTCATAAATTCCAATTCGATCATGGAATGAGGGCCAGAAAGCTCATCCTTTCCATATACAAGTCGCAACCT